AATCAGTTTATTCATCTGTTCAGGCTGTCCCCAATACTTTTCAAATTTTGTTATCATTCTTTCTGCCATCAAACTGAGTTCAATATCACCACAACCTTTTCACTCTTTCAAGATATTATCAATTGCACTTATTTCAGGTAGAAATGTATTAGCAGTAACATATGAACACCCTGAAACCCTAACTGTTATTTCATAGAAGAATTTTAAAAACTTGACCATTTTTCTCACAACTTTCCAATCATTTTTATTTGGTACACTAGTTGATCCAACTTCCAATTCCTTTTCAAACTGAGGATCTTGCCTCTCATATCTCTCAAAAGCCCTCTGAAATTTGTCTGCAACATCTAGTATCATATAAGTGTTATTCCACCTAGTTGGCACATCTAAATGAAGAGCTCTTTTACATTCAATTTTCTCCCTCTCAGCACAGTCCTTAAACTTTTTCAGCCTAGCGGGTGAATGCCTAACATATCTAATTGCAGCTCTAACAGCATTCACATGCTTAGATATGTCTTTTAAACCTTCTTGAACTACTAAATTTAGTATGTAGGTAACTCACCTCATATGAAAATGTTCAGAATCACAAATGCTATGTAACACCCCGTGTTACGGCCTTCAATCCCGGATTAATTATTTAATTAATCCCGTTAATAATAATTAAATATGATTTAATTCGGTTAGGTTTCTATTTAATTAATTAATGAGGTCCACCATGAACCGTGGACCCTTGCCTAAATGAGAGTCTTAGGCCTATTAGGAATAAAGGAAGTAGGCCTTTTACTATTCAGATTATGATTAGGATTCTCTTTAATTAATTAATATGGTCCACTATGGACCATGGACCCTTATCCCTAAAACAAGTCCTTAGTCCTATAAGGAATAGAATTAGTAAACCCATACCATTCAGGCCCTAATTAGGAGTCTTAAATATATAAATAGGGATATAAAAGGCACCTAGATCTTTCCCCACCACAAGAATAACGCCCACCACCCCAAAGAGCTCCAAGAATCCCCCTAGAAGAAATCAAGAAAGCAAGAAAGCTTAAAGAAAGGCCCTTCATAGCCGAGGAATTAATTAAGGCTAAGAGGTAACCCATGTCTCAACAAAACCTATTTTCATAGCTATGATTTCCCCCGTAGGATTTCCCCATATTATTGTGTATTGATGATTTGCGATATTATTATTGATGATTGATGGGATAATTCCATGGGTGATCTTGATATTGGGAGATTCTTGATAATTATGATGTTCTTGATGGTTATGTGGAGTTCTTGATGTTTATATGTCATTCTTGATAATTGTATATGCTTATGTGTTATTTGCACCGAATCTTGTAATTGGAGGACGAATCGTATTCTTGTGGGTATAAAAGTGATTAGAACCCTAGGTTGTATCGTATGATATCATTCTTGGTTTATCGGGTGGGAAATTGCATGTTTGGGGTGTCGATTATGTTAGAAAAGCATGATAGGATATGTGCCGTACGTTTCTCGTGTTTGATCCGTTAATTGACTACGTGTTGATCGTTAATTGCGTTGTAAAGTGTCTAAGCATAGTTTCGGGTTCCACAATGGTTCCCGGGGCGTTTTTGTGATGAAAAGAGTCAGTGGGGGGTAGGTGGGGGTAGGGGACCCGCACCTACCCGCGGCCAAGTCGGGCAGTCCCGGCAGCGGGCAGCTGCCCGCCGGGCACCCGCTGCCCGGAACAGTGCACGCCGGCGGGCAGCCGGCGGGTGGACCCCCACCCACCGGCTACCCGCTGGAAAATACCCCAACCCGGGATTTCGGCTTCCCCGTTTGATGTTTCCCCGACCCCCGTGGTGTCCCAACGGACTCCGTCTATCGTGCCTATGTCTAGTTTGATATTTCGGGTACCGTTCGTAGGTCGTATGAGTCCTATATATTGCATGCTAGTTGAATTGGTATCCCGTTGACCAAGGTGAAAGAAGTATGATCCCCTTAGGGTTATTCTTAGTATGTGAAGGATCATGCATAGGTTTTGTTATACGTTTTCTCCCCCTTCCCAATGTGTTAATGTGGGTTGCATGTGCTTGCTACGTGTTATGTGTGCGTGTCACCCCGAATTGGTTGAGATCAATCGGGCTATACGGGCAATCGGGTGGGCTGAGAACCATACCGGCTGTTAACCAGGCTGGTAGAGACCGGTCAGGTATATAAATATTATATAGGACTAAGTTCCACTATACGGGCAGTCGGATGGGCTGAGAACCATACCGGCTGTTAACCAGGCTGGTAAAGACCGGTCAGGTATATAAATATTATATAGGACAAAGGTCCACTATACGGGCAGTGGAATGGGTTGAGAACCATCCCAACTGTTAACCAGGCTGGTAGAGACCGGTCAGGTATATAAATATTATATAGAACTGCGGTTCATTAGTCGGTTGCGATCGGCTCCTCCGTAAGGTGAGACGGGGCAGGGTGCTGCGGGGCCGTGTCAGAGCTATATGCACTGACCCTCATGTATGGGCATGCGATTGGTCCTGTGGCGCCAACAAAGTGTGCTATGTGATGAGATATGGATGAGTGTGTTTATGATTATATTGGGGGATGTGACTATGGGATCTATGCTGGGGATTGTTTACATTGGGTTATGATTATTAATTGTGCTCAGCTCTATCTGTCTTGCCTATGGAGGATTGTATACGCCTGTTATAACTGTTGCTTGTGTCTAGCCTTATCTGTCGAGTCATTCCTGGTTTTAAAAGCTAGAGTCTCATAGGATATATCTTCATGCTTTAAAATGGTTTTCGTATATCTATATATATCTCTATATGTATTGTATTTCAACGCGTTGGAGTGGGTTACCAGCATCTCTCGCTGAACAGATATATTTGGCTTTCAGGCACAGACGAGTAGTTCACTAGAGCGCGCTAGAAGCTTGGACGTAGCTTAGATAGTTTTTCCCTTTCGGCCTGCGTGCCATGATTTAGTACTGATACTATTTGAGGATATTAGTCAATTAGCCTGGGCACCTGAGTTTTCTAGCTTTGGTGTGGCATAGCACCCCATACTCTTGTACTATGTTTTGGGATTCAACGAGATTTCACCTTTATTTAATAAGTTTTAAATATCCTGAAAATCTGGGGTGTTACATGCTAATACCCCAATTCTTTAATACAGCTTTTAAAGATCTAATTGCAATATCATTAGCACTAGCATTGTCTAATGTAACACAGAATAGTTTGTCAATCCCCCATTCAATAAGGCATTTCTCAATTGCTTCAGCAATATCAGCACCTCTATGAGATTCAATGGGAGTAAAATTTAACACATATTTTTGCAAACCCCATAGTTCATTTATCCAATGCGTTGTGATACACATATTTGAAATTCTTTGATTAGATGTTGTTAGGAACATTGTATTAGGATTTTGATGATACCAATGTAATGTAGAAAAGTAGACCCCTAACTATTAGCTTTTTCTTTTGCTGCTTTCGTCCTAGACGAGAGTTGCCATAACTCCTCTGTAATTCGTGTTAAGCTAGACAAACACACGAAAATGAGTTATGACTAGATGTTAGGGTCTCCAGGCGAAAGAAGACACGAGACATAAAGATCTACAACGAGAGTTAAGTAGGAGTTGTCAACTAGCACGAAAAGACAGTTTTTTTTTTTTTTTTTTTTTTTTTGTTAAAGACAATCTTTATCAAACATTACTTCTCTTCAACAACGAGAAGAATGTTCTACCTGTCTGATTTGACAACATCCTAGGACAATAAGGACCTCATCTTAAGGGACACACTTTTCAAGAAGCATTAAATGAAGATGTACCATCCTCTGAAGATAAAGGACAAAACCTAATGCTTTCCATACCCTCAACGGCTACATGGTACAACCTCATTAATGGAGCATTTAATGCATGAAGCTCCCCGGTCCTTGTCCAATGGTTAAAAGGTTTGAAAATTTCATCTCCCTCCAACGGATGAATTTTCTTCACCTATATAAACCCACCTTCATCAACTAAGTGGTATCAGAGCCAATACCTTGGTTGGTAAAGGCTTTGCATTTACTGCCTGGTAGATCCCATTTCAAAAATCTCTTGAAAATCTTGCATATTTTCTTTGCACGCTTTTTACTCAAAAATGGAAAAGGAACATGTTCATCGCTCTAAGCAACTTGCATTTAGTCTTGCTACATTTGATGACTGGAAGTTGAGAATGCAGGCTCTCCTATGCTCTATTCATGATGAAATGTGGGATGTCATAACAACCGGACCAATCATTGTCATGATGGCGAATGCACAAGCAGCCGCACAAGGAGCAGGAGCTGATCAGATGATACCAAAGCCGAAAGACCAGTACTCCACGGACGAGAGAACAAGAGCAAATCTGGACAATATAGCAAGAAATATACTCTACAACTCTTTGGATGATTCCTTGTTTCCTAGAGTCCGAAAGTGTAAAAATGCCATGGAAGTATGGAATGTCCTGATGAGTTTGGGAGAAGGAGATGAGCACGAAAAGGACAACAAGCTGACAATGGCTATGGAGAAATTTGAAGATTTCTAAATGCTGCCAAATGAATCAATCATCAATATGGAACTCAGATTCACCAGACTGATGGGCGATTTATCAGACCTTGGAAAAGAACTCACTGAAAAGGAAATGAATCTGAAGATCCTTCGTGGACTACCAAAATCATGGGAAATGAAGGTTATCGCAATGAGGGATAGTCGAGATATGAAAACAACAAGCACGGCCAAAATTTTCAGTGATCTCAAAGCCTATGAGTTCGAACATGAACCAAAACATGCCGAAGATTCAGAAACAAGAAACATTGCTCTCGTGGCAAATCAATCAGCATCAACCTTCAACAGGTCGAAATCTAACTCTTGTGATTTTTTATCTGATGAACAATATGCACTATTTGTCAGGAAAATGAAAAGGTTCATGAGAAAGAACAACTTTCAAGATCCATAACGATCAGGCCACCGAAAGAAGCACGAGAACTTTCCTCAAACCTCAAAAACCGAAACTATGGACTCTCAGCTATTGTGCTATAATTGCCGAAAGCCAGGACACTTCAAGGCGAACTGTCCTCATCCCATAGTAAGCAAACATCAAGATGACAATGCTATCACAAGTCCCTCAAAAGAGACTGGAGAAAGATATAAAAGGAGCGACAAGTCTGAGTCATCAAACTTCAGAAAGGAAGGAAGAAGGAAGGCAATGGTAGTAAACGAAACTTCTGACACAGTCGCAACCGAAAGTGATTCCTCAAGCTCCAGCTCAGAAGATGAAAACACTGATGAGGAGAAAGGACTGTTGTGCTTATTCAGTCAAGAGTCAGACGAACTGTGCCTCATGGCAGATGAAGACGAGGTAAACTCTCATTCATCGTTTTGTTATTCAGCTGAGTCAAGTTCTGTGGGAAGTCTTACTTCCAATGAATCTGTCACTGAAATGATGAGGAGGTTCAATGTGATAAATAGCACTTACTCCAAACTCAAGGAGGAGAACTCTCGGCTCATGCTTAGCTACAATGAACTAAAGCAAGTTCGTATTGAGAACAATGTGCTGGTCATTGCTAAGGAACAGCTTGAGAAAGATGTTCTCGCTCTAAAGGAGCAATGCACAACAAAAGAGAAGAGAGAGCAAGAACTGCTTGAAGTCTTGGATAAATTCAATAACTCATCCAACCTAATGGATAGAATGATGAATGAATCCAGACTTCCCGGGGAAAGAACAGGAATTGGTTTTAACCCCAGCTCCTCTTCACAAGTTGAATTGAACAAATCCACGAATGCATACTCACACGAAAGCTTCGAGGCCGCATTTGTTCAAGGACCTACCCAGGTGTCTGAGCCTATGATGGTAGTTAACAATGTCGAAACACCACAATCAACAAGCCAACCGAAAGGTACGGCTGTACAACGAATTGTGGAATCTGGAAAGAAGAAATCTGGTAATGGCAATCCTAGACAAATCTATGTCAAAAAGAATGGACCAAATGGCAATAGACAGAATCTACACCATAAAAAGGGTCAGCCTAACTGGAACACTCAATCCAATAAAAAGACGAATGTTAACCAGAGGCAATATCGTCCGAAATTCACACGAAAGAATCCTGCACAAGGAATCTCAAGAAATGGACGAATCAGACAACCCGAAAGATCCTTCAAAAAATCTGGGTATGGCAATGGATGGACTGGGCCATCAGAAGAAGATTGGTTTGATTACCCAGAACCTCTCCCTAGAGCAGTATTTGAAAAGGTTCATCTACGTAAACAAACCAATCATCTCAAGCATTATGAAAATCTTCCTTAGGAAGATCAACGTAAGAAATATAATGCTAAAGTCTTTGCCAGCATCCATTATGATTATCGTACATCTAATGGATATAGAGGACCGAGGATGAGTCGTGGATACTCTAGGTTGATGTGGGTTCCAAAGTTGACTGCTAACCCCCAAGGACCCAAAACTAAATGGGTACCTAAAAACACATAATCTTTGATGCAGGAAAAACAGGTCATATGGTATATTGATAGTGGATGCTCAAGACATATGACTGGTGATAAAACAATGTTGAGCAACTTTAAGGAAATAGATGGACCCAAAGTTATCTTTGGAAGAGAAAATAGCGACAAAACTCGTGGAAAAGGGGACATCATTGATGGTTTTTGGGTTTTCAGGCCCAAGGAGGTCCAACACAACCGTTGGCTGGAGGATACACCTTTCAATAAAAATGTATGCCTATCTCGGAAATAGTGCTAGTATTCGGAATCTCTCTCTCTGGTCCCCCCCCCCCTTTTACAAGAGTGGAGGAGCCTTTAAATAGCGGCTCCTCCTCTACCGACTTGAAGGCCCTTAATGGCCGACTTCAAGACTAATCAAGATATGGAGTCATTGGACGCCATTACTCGGTCGACCAACGGCTCTTCTAGGCTTGTAACAGCCTGACCGGATCCTGCTTTCAATGCCCTAACGGCTCCCTTTTAAACGAGCCTCTTCAATGCTCTCAACGGCTCCTTGGACCGAATCTTTCCCTGGGCTTGGGCCTTGGTCGACTCCTCGTCTCAGCCTAAGCTCTCACTGGGCTCCTCTTTAGCAGTTTTGAACTGGGCCCCTTGCCTGGGCCTGGGCCGACTCCAGGACTCGGCCCAATTGCTCTTCGGGCTCCTCGGATGCTGGCCCACTTCTTCGAACCATCTCCTTTGGGCCCCTATCTCTTGGGCCGGGGTCCTTACCCCATCAACTAGTCCCTCACTTTTTCATACCTGTTACGCTAGCCTGGGTTTCGCTAAGTTACAACTGTCTATCCCCCTCAATCACCGCATCCATGCCTTGAATAGCCTTTTGTAACGTCCGGATCCTCAGCCATTCTCTCCGGATCTCGCGGGGCCGTTTGGATTCTTCTGTCTAAACTTGGCACCTATAAATGGCCTCCTCCCTTCTCTCTTACCTTCACAAGTCCATCATGGGTCGTTCTCCTTTGAAAGGAAAACGAATTGACTTTGGGTCTCCTTGGCGCCCGCTGCCTTCCAAGCGGACTCGGCCTGAAAGGGAACACAAAAAGAAGACTCCTCGCCCAGCCTCTCAGAGGTCTCCTGCCGGCGCTACTCCCTCAGCTTCTCAGCCGCCGACTCCTCCTCGTCGTGAGGCCGCTCTGTCTTCACGCCAATCGCCTACTCCCACAACTACCCGAGTGACTTCTCAAGACGGGTCCTTTGTTGAGGTGGCGGTTCCAGAGCAACTTACTTTCAGAATGACCTTCTCCATTCCGCTGGACGACCTGGACGGGCCAGTTACGGGCCTGATGAATGATGAGGACTACGCCCGCTACTTGGAGGCGTATCCGGATGATGAGGAGCCAATTGCGCCACCACTCATGCCAGCTTTCTGGGACTCGTTCTGTCCATCCCTACCCGGACCACTGGGGGGATTCTTTGGGGGTGACTCTTCCTCGCCCGGTGAGTGATCATATGTACCGGAGTCGGCCATAGTTCAAAGGAATCTTTTCTAGGAGCATTTTCATATTCCTTATTGTAATAAGCTCCTTGCTACTTGTACCCTCCTTCTCTATAATAATAATAAAAAATGCTATTTTCGCCTTGCCTTATGTCTTATCATATTTTGTTGCGTACCCATCCGGACGACTGGTCAAGGAGTTGGTCACGTCATCAGATTCTTTTCAGTCTGACACCTGCAAGATTCCCCGTATCTCGGGCGAATCCAATCTTCTCTGCGTTGGCGTGCGAATCTTACTCTTCCCGGGCGAATTTGATGAAACTAATCTCTGACAGAGATTCGCGTCATCCGTCTAATCCGGCTCAGTTATGTTAGTTATAATCTCCTCCGTGATTATCGCCTAGATATTCGCCTTCACTGGGCTATATAAAGGCCCCTCACAGTTGATGCAAATCGCATCACTCTCCACTTTGCGTAGGCACGGTGCTATGAGTTACAGGGATGGTGATCGCTGCTGGTCCATTCGTAACAAGGAGTATGCTCGACTGGAGCAGTTAAGGCAGAAGAGGTTGGCTAACGGAGGTCGTTTGGTGGGCGACTCGGCTTCAGACCCCATTGTGGTGCCTCCGGACGTGCTGGACCTGATGTGTAGGGAGCCTATCGACGTGGAGATGGAGCCTGTGGTGGAGATGGAGCCTGTGGTGGAGGATCCAGAACCAATGGTGGAAGAGAAGTGGGAGGCTCCTCCCCTCTTTGGTGTTGCCATGTCGCCGAGTGCTCTGGAAAGGCCCTTGCAAATGATCGATGACGGGAAGCCCGCCGTGTATCTGGATGAAATGCCTGAGCCTGAGCCGAGTCCTCTGCCTTTCTACTCTTAGTACCTCCTGGAAGGCCCCCCGACTGCTCGCCCATCGACAGAGAAAGAAGCCAAGTCTTGACCCGTTTTTCTCTTGTAATTTGCATCGGCTGAGTTCTGGGCTTTGTAATCTTCGTGCTAATTCAATAAACTGTGTGCTTTTCTGTCCGACCCTACATTTTCTTATTGTTTTGTCGCCCGACCTCCGGTCTACAGGACTGATGCTACGGCGAGACCCTCTTGGCGAGAGAGTCGCCGAGTCTGCTCGCCGACCTGGCGACCGGAGTCTTTTCGCGAACTTGGCTGATATCATCTGATGGGCCGGGTTCTACCGGGTCGTTCTAGAAGTTTCTAGCTCGTACCTCGTGGGCCCAGAGACCATGGCCTATGATGGGCTTCCAGCTTAGCAAGCCGGGTCATTGATGCCCGACCCTAGCCTAGGGCAGACGCGCCGTCTGCAAGCTAACCCTATGCCTGAACCGTCGCCCCGCCTTTTGAGGCATTAAATGCGGTGTCTCTTCACATCCCGTCACCTCCACTTCCTCCAACGAGAAGGTGACACGTGGCCGGCCTTTGAAATTCCTCCCCCTTTAAATAGCCATTTCATCTCTTTTCCACTCTCTTCTCCAGTCTTTCTCTTCGTTCTCAACTCGAGCTTCTCCGGCCATTCCGCGTTTCCTCCGATCTCTCACCTAACTTAGGTAATGTCTTCCTCTTCACATTCTTCTTCTTCCCGTCGTTACTCGGCCGATAACCCGGTGGCGACCTCCCCCTCTTCTTCTTCTCCTTCTTCGTCTTCTTCTTCTCCTCCCCGTCGTATGGAACTTCCGGCGGACGTTCCATCGACGTCTTCTCTTCGTCGTATGGAACTTCCGGCGGACGTTCCATCGACGTCATCTCTTCCTACGACCCCCTCTTCTTCGGGGGCGGTTACTCCGCTGAGCCCCGCTCCTTTAACGACGGTGGCGGCTCTGCCGGGTGGCATCGGACGGCCGCGAGGCAAGTTTGATTCCATCGTCCGTCCTTCCGGGCCACCGTCCATTGTTAATGCAGTGGACCTGGAAATGGCCCAATACCTTCTTGGGCCTTCAGCCGTAGTCCTCGCCCCGGAAGGCCGGCAAATTTACGACCCCCCCCCCCCCCCCCGAGGGTTGTGTCGGCATTCACCTGCACTCGGTTGCCTTTGGCTTCCGAGTTCCTCCGTGTCCTTTCCTTTCCCTTTTTTATCGCCATTGCAACTTAGTTCCGGGCCAATTAGTGCCTAATTCTCACCGACTCCTCACCTGCTTCGTCAACCTCTGCCACTAGTGGTTGTGCGAGCCGGATCTAGGCCTGTTCCGGTATCTTTTCACCGTGAACAAGGTCGGCTCGCATTCGCCGGGCTTTGTTCAAGTTGCCGCTCGCCCGGGGCGACAGCTTTTCGAGGGGTTGTCCGACTCCATTAAGGACTGGAAGTTCCTCTACTTCTTCGTCCGCCCCGCTTTCTCTTCCTTCACTTTACCGACCTTGTGGCCGACCGCTCTATTCAGGCCCTGCTCTCGGCGTGCCGTCCCTTCCGATGATGCGGTCCTGGGCGGCGAGTTCTTGAAGGGCTTCGGGCCGTACTCGGTCAAGTACTGGTCCCGAGTCCGGGCCATGGCTAAGCGTGGCTTGCTGCCGGAGGGTACGACCACCGTAGGTAGTCTTCGTTGCCTCTCGTTTCTCTTCTTTTTATTCTGTCACATTCCGACTTGGAATGCTTATGATTTTCCCTCCTTTCGCAGGTCCGTACGACTTCGATTCCTCTAGTTTCGACGAGG